ACATTAAACAACAACAAAAAAAAAAAAAAAAAAAACGTGATCAAATTGCAAATAAAAATGTCTAACTCTCTGACCGCCTACAAGTCTCCGAATATGAATTATTTAATATCAGTATTCTTTGCCATTCTTGAAAACCTATCAACAACACTCTTCTTCAGCTCTTCTTGATAACCACTAAAGGGCTAAAGACTAAAGCTCTTCGCTATTCTTAGAAACTAAAAAAACAAATAAAAAACACGCAAAGAAATTTTTAAAATGCGTCATGGGGTGTTTGCAGACCAATTGTCCGAAAACATACGAGACGATATGTTAGCTAAGCTCTCGTTTAAAGCAATGGAAGTGCATAAACGTGAAACCATCGAAATCTCAAGTTATACGACTTTTTGTTAAAATTATACGAGGCCCGACCAGAAGAGAATTTCGTATACTTGACATGCATAAATAAAGAAATAAATGCTTATTTATCAGTCTAGACATACATATCAACCCGGCAAATAGATAGATCGATGTATATCTATCAGATATTTAGACAGATATGCATTTATGTGTAAAAGCATATCTGTATTTATGAATATTCATTGGTTCGAGCCTCGCACAATTCTCACAAACCGTCCGATAGACAAGAGTTTACAACACCCTTCCAGAAACGCATTTTCGAGCCATTGGCCTGAAGAACACCCCAGGACGCCCATGCAGAAGGTCCTTACTCTCCGTCCGGCCTTGTTGTTGTGCAGGTTCATGAGCGCCCGCGCGTCGCCCTCCACCTCCCGCGCGTCCACGAACTTGCGCGCGAATTTTATTCCGTATCTGCGGATGGAGGTCACGTGACAGGGCTTCGAGAGCGCGGGAAAATTGAATGTGGGTTTATGATTTATGAATTTGTATTAATTGATATATATGTATGATTATGTTGTATATACATTATTTTGTATGCATTTTATATGTATGTACATATATATGTATGTATATATACATACAAATATATATGTGTGTGTGTGTGTGTGTGTGTGTGTGTGTGTGTGTGTGTGTGTGTGGTGTGTGTGTGTGTGTGTGTGTGGTGTGTTGTGTGTATGTGTGTGTGTGTGTGTGTGTGTGTACATATATATACATATACATATATATACACATATACATACATGCATACATACATACATATATATACATGTGTGTGTGTGTGTGTGTGTGTGTTGTATGTTTATGTAACATGTATATACATGTATATTATATAATTATATATATATATATATATATATATATATATATATATTCATTATTATTATCATTATCGTCATTATTATCATTATTATATTATTATTATTATTATATTATTATTATTATAAGCATCATCATTATTATTACATTATCATTATTGTTATTATCATTATTCATCATTATCATCATCATTATCATCATTCCTATTCATCATATCTTACAATCACAATCATTCTTACTCCCTCCTTACCCATCTTTATCACCAACACTCTTCCTCCGACTCAAAAAGCACTTACTTTATATCGGCGCTGCAGCCGCCCCACTTCCACCCCGAGGCGCTGTAACGGCCCCGCTTGCGGTCGTCGCAGCCGCAGGTGGAGATGTTGCCGCGAGCGCAGGACGCCGTCACGCTGTAGGCGACGCCGGCGCTCAGGAGGGCGTAGGTGAAGGCCGCCTCGCGACTGCCTGGAGGAAGGGAGCGCGTTATAGGTCTTCGTCAGGAGGCTTTGGGTTGGAGGAGGATGGGGGAGGGGCAGGAGGAGGAGGAGGAGGAGGAGGGGGAGGAGGAGGAGGGGGAGGAGGGGGAGGGGGAGGAGGGGGAGGAGGTTGGCTTTGGAGGAGGAGGAGAGGGGGGAGGTGGAGGAGGTGGAGGAGGAGGAGAGGAGGGAGGGGGAGGGGAAGGAGGGGGAGGAGGAGGAGGAGGAGGAGAGGAGGAGAGGAGGAGGAGGAGGAGGGGGAAAGAAGAAGAGAAGAAGAAGAAGAAGAAGAAGAAAGGAGAGAAGAGGAGAAGAAAGAAGAAGGAGAAGAAGAAGAAGAAGAACAGAAGAAGAAGAGAAGAAGGAGGAGAAAAGGGAAAGTGAAGAGAAGAGAAGAAGAAGAAGAGAAGAAGAAGAAGAGAAGAAGAAGAAGGAGAGGAAAGAAGAAGAAGAAAGAGGAAGAGGAAGAAGAAGACGAGGAAGAAGAGGAAAGGAAGAAGAGGAGGATGGAGGAGAGTATTAAGCGCAACATTCATTGAAGAAAAAAGGAGGAGGAGGAGAACGAGAAGCAGTGGGTGAGTAGCAGCAGCAGCAGGAGCAGGAGAAGGAGAAGGAGAGGAAGAAGAAAAAGAAGAAAAAAAGAGGAAAGGAAGAAGAAGGAGAGGGGGAGGAGGAGGAGGAGGAAAAAGTAAGAACACGAATACAAAAAAAACTTTGTGAGGTGATCAAAAACTAGAGAAACCAACCAAATTCTTTTATGTATCCAGCAAATAGGTGTCTATTAACCGATTGCATGTCCCTCCTTTATCTAGAATTTTATTTAGTGTCTTTAGA